TACGCTCGCGGGGGCGGTCCCCTAGGCGGCGGGTTGTGGTTCCGGTTCCGTCGCGGAGACACGTGAAGGTCGGTGAGTTGGTGCGGAGTCCGTCTCGGCACGCGTAGTCGCGCTGGGATGGATTCCTCCTCGTCTTCCTCTGCGGCGGGTTTGGGCGCGGTGGACCCGCAGTTGCAGCATTTCATCGAGGTGGAGACTCAGAAGCAGCGCTTCCAGCAGCTGGTGCACCAGATGACTGAACTTTGTTGGGTGAGGATCCTGGGGCTGGGACCTGGACGCTGTACCTACTTTCCCTCTGCCCTTGCCCCACGGGACTCGCTACGACGTCGGGGATTCGGGGAAGGGGTAGATCCGGTAGCGCCGCTTGGTTTTCTCAGACTCCTCAGGTCGAGCCGGAAGGGAGAAGGGTGCCTCCACTTCTCTGGGGATTGTCACTCTGGACCTCGGCTTTGTTGGCGCAGAGGACTGGGGATCAAAGAAGACTTATGCCGCTGTCCCACTGGCACTTGCAGGCACCTGGGGTTGACACTGTCTAGTGCTGGTCACCAAGACTGATTAGAGCCCCCAGGACTGAGATTTTGTCTCTAGAACGCGAGTCCCAGAAAGTCAGTGAATGTGTTATTCCTCGACTCCTCGGGATTTACCTTGATTACCTGGTTGTTCTAACCCTGCCCGGTGAGAAATGAGTGGCTCTGGACCACTGACTATAAAAGTGGCGTAATCTCTTCCAACATGCACACTTATTTGCCTTCTTGGTGGATTGTTGTGTAATACCACGCCGTTTTGGGTCTGAAGGTGGAGGAATTGAGTCTGCCCTATGAGGGGACTTTGGCAAAAAGGTGGAAAGCATTTGTAGCTTGAGATCAAAGTGTTCTGGTTGCTAAGGACATTATACTGCCCTCCCTTGGCTACAGAATTCAGAGGCCAAGGATAATTCCCTTGGATTTGAAGGGTCTGAGGCTTGTGTACACAGCAGAAAATAACGAAATTCATTCGAACCACTGAACTTGAACTATATATGGTCATCGGTTTCCATAATACCTTTCCTATAAATTTATGGTATTTCCGGACTATGACCATTACCAAATGCTTACTTCACTCTAGAGTGCTTTGATTCTTTTTTTTTTTTTTTTTTTTTTTTTATTCTGTGATTCATTGTATTTGGGCCAGGAGGGAGTGTGGTTAAGGACACCTTTAAGAATCTGTAAGCAATGGGCCCTTTAGGAAAGTTCATACAATTTTCCATTCAGCGTGAGAGGATTTAAGAAACTCTGGCTTAAGTAGACATGGTTACAGAATCTCAGGTCATGGATTTTCTTTTCTTTGGTAGGTTTTAGGATGTCTTGCTGTAACGATTTATCCTTTCACCCTTGTATTCTGCAGTTAATGTAAAGGCGTTTAATGCAAGCAGCATCGTGGAGTTACAACCAAATTCAGTGAAAGTTTACTTCACTTTTATTTTGCCATTTTTCTTGCTTAGTAATATCTCAGCTCCACCATTTCTGGCCCTGTGTCTTTAAGCAAAGTGTCTGTATACCAAAGCTTCCCTCTTTGTATACAAATAAGGATTAATAATAATGTCTATTCCATAGGATTGTTGTGAGAATTGAAGTCTGTAGAAAATTGCTCGACACTTGGTAAGCTGCCAAATGTGAACTATTATTAATATATCAGATACTGTTTTTAGGTGAAATTTGTCCTCTAAGCAACAAGAACTTACCCTCCACCCACCCCTCTTTTTTACCTGAGTTCCCTTTGTGATTCTGTATCTTATCCTGTGCAGGAGAAGTGCATGGACAAGCCTGGGCCAAAGTTGGACAGTCGGGCTGAGGCCTGTTTTGTGAACTGCGTTGAGCGCTTCATTGATACAAGCCAATTCATCTTGAATCGACTGGAACAGACCCAGAAATCCAAGCCAGTCTTCTCAGAAAGCCTTTCTGACTGATCTCAGCATTACCTCTTTGGAAGAGGAAGGTAGTCAAGAAATGAAGAGTTGTTGATGGGATGGTTGAAAAAATAGTTATGGGGCATTGGCTCCCACCTTTTGTCACTCTTTGGATATCCTGTCATCTGAGAATGAACAAAGACCAATTTTTGTGTGTGTGTGTGTGTGTGCGGTTTTAGGGTCATGTGTATTTGTTTGTGTTTTTTTAATGCTAATCTTGTGAAAATAATTGCCAGACGAATGGAAAACTATTAGATGCCTATTACTGTATGTTGGACTGTGCTTTTCTCAAAGTCCCATTAACTGCTTCTTGTAATTTTGATAGTGGAACTGCTTTCTATAATTTGATCGTGGGACCACATAGGTAAAATCTCTCATTTGTGTGGATTCATTTCAGATTGCTGGGAGATCTTTGTGTCTGGCAGGAAGGGCAGCAGTGGGGGGAGGAGTAATTTGGTACTTAACTGTGGGCCTCCTTATCTAGTGTTTGACTGTCAGTGCTGGGGAAAAAAATCTGTGGAGTGTTCACACAGTTCACTTCAGCTCCCTAGATTATCTCCTTCCCCTATACTATTATTTACGTGACTATCTATAGTAAAGTATGGTCTCAAGGTAGTACAGGCATCCTGAGAGTCTACAGGCCTTTAGTTATAAAGGAATCTAGCCAGTGAACATAATTCTTATTACTAGACTGCCACAAAGAAAAAGTTAGCTTACCCTGTATATCAGGGTATAAAAAATTCAAAGATGTGCCTAAATCAGTTATAAAGATTTAGGCCAGTCAAAAACTTAACAGCAGTTTCAGGTAGAGGTGCATGCCTAATGTTAATTAGTATAGATTCCATTTACTGCATTTTTTTGGTCACTGAAATAAAAGCTTCTACAAGATCCAACTCTGTGATTGAAAAGACTTTCCAGTCTAGTTATCATCTGCAACCCAGAGAGATTTAGTATGGGCTGATTCCAAGCCCAAAATGTAGCCAGTCTAGGTACTTGCTCTGTGCAAGGTACAGCATGGTATTCTAGGGGGTCCCTGACCTTTTTGTGACAAAAAAGAACCTTGACATAAGAGGGGGGAAAGGAATTCCATGTTGACGGTCAAGTCCTGAGTGTAGTAGAAGATGTTCTATTGACTGGATTCCCCTCTTATTTCAAATCCTAGTAGACTGGAGTATAGACCTAAAGTAGGACTACTTATTGGTAGCCTCTAGTGCAAATCCGTGAAAGTTGGGGAGATACACATTTCCAGAAGCCTCAAGTCCCTGTTTAGCTTTCCCACATATAGGCAGGCACTGTAAGAAAACTTTAAAAAATCACGATAACACAATTCAACATTTAAGTGCCTACTCTGTGCCAGACACTGTTTTTAGTGACAGGGATTTAGCAGTGCACAAAAAAAGTCCCTGTCCTTGATGTGCTTATGTTCCAGCTAGGGGGGACAGGCAGTAAACACATAAATATGTGAATATAGTAAGTGCCACAGAGAAAACGCAGAGTTAGGGTGCCAGGGATGCCTGTGGGGCACTGTTATTTTATATGTGATGGTTAGAGAAGGCCTCCTTGGGAAGGTGGCATTTCAGCATGGACCTGAAAGAACTAAGTGATCAAGCCCTGTGGGTATCTAGAAGAACATTTCAGGCAGAGGTAACCGCAAGTCCAAGGGCCCCATGGTAGGACCTGCATGCCACGGTGCCATGAAGAACAGTCAAAAGGTCAGCATGGCTGAAGTAAAGTGAATAAGGAGAATGGTGAGAAATAGAGGCAGAGAAAAATACATGAGATGGTTTGGGGCTGAGGGGGAGGTGTGCACTGACCGTGTCAGGCCTTGTAGACCATTGTAAGAACTTGGGTTTTACTGAGCACGATGGGGAGCCATTTGGGGGATTTTAGCAGACCAGTGGCGTAATATAACAGGTCGTAGGAGAGTCCGCCTGCTGTTTGGAGCACATGCACACGGTGAAGAAGAAGTAGTAGTAGTAAGAATTTTGAAGTCCAGGAGAAATCAGTTTTTTAGGGTATCTGGCATATACCTTGTATTTATATGCCTCTGTTGATTTTTTTTCCCCTACAAAATTTCATGTGTTCATGTAAAACCTCAAGTAACAGAGAAGCGTTTAGTCTCTTCTTATTCTTCATTCTTCCTTATTCTTCCTCCTTACATTATTTATTGTGTTATTTATTTTATTACAACATCATTCTTCCTATTCATTTAGTGTTAAAGTATTTTCACTACATGTACACACAAACTTAAATATCTTTGCTTTACAGTGGTATTGCTTGCTCAGCTATTATACATAGTGAGAAAGAAGGTCTATTCGATTTACACAGTGTGTGTGAGCACCAGCGTGTGTTCAACACTACTAGGCACAAGACAATGGGAAAGAAAAGGAGTAATGTTTGCCCCTGTTTTCAGGAGGTCAGTAAACACCAGAGCTACAACTTGGGCTTCTGTTTGTTTTGTCAGTCTCAGAAATTCTTGTTCAGAACCTTGATAAAAGGGTGGCACTTTCAGCCCTGATGACATTCAAAGTCCTCAAATATTCAGGGTAGAAAATTCAAGACTCAGCTATAAAATAAAAGGATTAGATTAGCAGACCATTTTTCTGAAATGAGATCTCACTTAGAAGTTGATATTTAAAATAGAAGAGCCAAGCTGCTCTGGTGGTAGGGGTATCCAGAAGCCTGCCTGCTGTCTCCTCACCCACCTGTATCCCCAGTGTTGTGTACGGCACTGTCTTGGAGCCTCCAGGGTTTTACCAGACGTACTGTAAAAACTGGAACCAGTCTGTCCCTAAGGTCCCTAACCATGAGTCCGTGAACTAACATTAGGGATAACTGATACAAGGAAATCAAGCAGGAACTTCATATGTACTTATGATAAACAAATCTCCATAAGGAGTTTGAATTCTAAAATGTAACAGGTCAATAAACCCCATGTAAAATGTTCCTTATGTGGAATAATGGAAAGCAATTAATGGTCCTTTTTAAAAAAAAAAAAAACAATTTCCCCCATATCAATACTTTAATAAAAAGTCTTAGCCTAGGGAGGTTTTATTTCAAAGACCACTCAATAGTACTTCTCTTGAAACTCTCCATATTCTACTTCAGCTTTATTTTTGTTGGCATCTTCTGGACTCAAAATAGGTTGATGGAGAAAGGTCTGGTATCCTATATCTTCATTCTGTGTGGGAGTAAGGGTATTGTTCAGATTTATTGATCTCAAGCCAAAGGGCAACAGGTACGGACCAAAAGGAACATCTTGAAAGGCATGAAGTAAAAGAGGCCAAGAACTATGGTACGTAAACCAGAGATGGCACCGCTAAAGTTGTTGAGGTCATATGCTGCTATTCTTTGAAAAGAACAGCAAGCAGGTCATGGCAAGGAAAAGGACATACTACATGGGAAGGACAACAGAGGTACTAGAAATATCCAAGGCCTTGTTTATATAGTTAATTTGAATGTTTACACAAAGCACAAAACAAATCGAGAGCATTTAGCCCAGGGCTGGGTTTGTGATTGACTTCCCTAAAATAGCTGCTTCAAGGCAACGTCCAAACCTTTGACACAGAAATAAAATGATAATACAAATCTTTCCACGAACGTTTGAAGTACTCTCGTATACACCAGGAGGTTACTCTGGCCATAGCAAGGTCCCACTATGAAGACAGACAAGGTGGAACTGACCACAATACACAAGGCCAAAACAATGAATCCTGCAATAAAAGAATTGAATTATTCTTTTAATATTTATATAAGAATTGCTAAAGCAATTTGACAAGCCATTACATTCTTTAACACTTTAACAAGTGAACAATTAGCCACTCAATGTATGAACTAACAAAAATTGTATATCTAAAGCTATATCTTGCAAAGAATCACTCTAAAAAGGCAAAACCTATACATTATAATTATAGCATTCTCTACTACGCAGAAATACACGGAAGGGACTATTGGGTAGGATATGGCCAACCAGGATTCTGATGTACTGATCAGGAACTCCAGATGAACAAAAGAGCCAACAGAATTTTGAGAGGTATCAAATATAATACCATAATGACAATAGCTTTGCTTTACTGAGGGTGTGCATACTATGAGGTACCACACACTGTACTATGTCTTTTACATGCATCATCTTTTTAAAATTAAAACAATTCAGAGAGGAACTATTATTACCATACCCATTTTACAGATGGAGAAGCTTAGGCTCAGGGAAAATAACTTACTCAAGGTTACACAGCCAATAAGTTGTAGGGATGGAATTTGAAACGAGGGAGTTTGACTCCAGAGCTCATGGTCTGAACTATTATACTAAACTGCCTCCCAATGTACTTTTGTACATAGGAAGTAATGTTTCTCTAAAAGCCTGAGCCAAAATAACTGGAACATATCATTCTAGAGATAGCATGGTATAGTGGAAAGAGTACAAGTTTTTGAGTGAGGTAGAACTGGGTTCAAATCCTGACTGCTGACACCTGTGACCTTAGAGAAGTCAACCTCTGATCCTTTGTTTTTTATCAATAAAACTGAGATGGTAATACCTACCTCACAGGGTTGTAAAATGAGGTAACATGTAAAGCACTTGGTGTGCTGCAGATGCTTTAATGGTAGCTATTATTTATTTTTAAAATTTTTTTGTCTATTATTTATTATTACTACTACTATCATTCAGAACTGGGCATTTTTGGTCATCCTGACAGTCAATGTCTGGGAGAACAAGAGAAAAACAAGAAGTCACTTCACCAAGCTGATTAATTGATGAAGTGGCAGGGCCAATGGAACATACATTAAGGATTTTTAGTTTTATCTCACAATCAATAGAAAATTATTGGAGGATTTTATACAGTGGAGTAATATAATGATATTTGCACTTTTTTTTTTTTTTCTTTTGTCTTTTGACTTTTTCCGTGTCCGGCAACGGATCGCAACCCTCAGTGTTGCCCCTGTACCGGACCGGGGACCGGCAACGGGATTGCAACCCTCGGCGTTGCTCCCGCGCCTCGCTCAGCCAGTGAGCGGGAACCGGTCTGTATGTGGGATCTGAACCCTCGGGCGGGAGCGCCTCCACGCTTCCCAAGCGGCGCACTATCCAGTGCGCCACCGGGCCGGCCCGATATTTGCACTTTTTAATGACAAAAGTACTCCATGCATATTTGAAAATTTTCAAACAATATGGAATCGCTTAAAATAAATAAAAGTCCTTTCCTTACCCTCATACGAGGGTAATTCAAAAAGTTTGTGGAAAAGTGGAATTAAAAGATAATCAGAATCCTTGAACTTTTTGGAGTACCCTCGTATATGCATTTAGAAAGATCTCTAACAGCTATATGGAGGTTGGAGTAAGGCAGAGAGAGCAGTAATGAGGTTATTTCACTAGTTCAGGGAAGAGACTTTGGAGGATTGAATTAAGATAGTGGAAGCAGGAACAGAACGGGGGCATATTAGGAATATGGGGGTGCAGTGAGAGAAATCTGTAGTAAGGTGGAAATGAAGAAAAACTGATAATGATAGGATAGGAGGTAGGGTAGAGAATAATGTGCCAGTGAGGATGCCTTGGGGCTCAAAGGACAGGAAAAGTGACTAGAGAGGAAGATAGAACCGATCACATTGAACAGACAGCAGAGGAAGTTACACAGAGGTTATTCCCAATTCCATACCTCTGGTGTCTGGGTAACCTTTGGAATTATTTATTGCCCCCCCCCCAATTTAAGGAACATAAGCATACCCCTAAAGTCAGAAATTCTTAAAAGATTACTCACAAATACAATGTTCTATAAACTTTTAACAGGAAAATTTAGAAAAAAGCTGCTATGGTTTGGATGTCCCCTCCAAAACTCATGTTGAAATGTAATTACCATTGTAACACTATTAGGAAGTGGGACCTTTAAGAGTTAGG